GTACCTCTGTGGCAGGAGGGCCGCTGTAGCTTAACAGCAGGGCGAGAAGTGAGGTGGCAAGGAAGTTGGTGGAGGGCAAACACACCAGCGGAGCCAGTTAGGGGGTCCTGACAGTGTGTTTGCACCATGCCAACTTCCCAGTTGCCTTGCCTCTTGCCACCATGCCTGTCAGCAACAGCGACCCACCTGCCAGAAAGCTTCTGAGCTGCCTCTGTCATGCTCTGACAGGCCTGCTCATCAAACGGTCCATGCACTGAGTACATCATTACAACAGGGTGGTAAGGATGTAATATATTTTGACACAACCTGACAGTATCTCATTTTGTAAGCTTTCAGAATGGAGAGGAGTGCTTACCTGGTGAGAAAAGAAAAGTAGTCCAGCTGGCAGAGGGGAAAATCTAATTTTCCAATGACTCTGATGGATATTTGTCATCAGTTAAAGGAATTATTCACTGCTGTGACCCTCCTTAACTTAAGCTTGACCCAAAGAAGATCAAAGATTCCCTAGCAAGAGATAATTAGTAAAGATATTAATTTAACAGTCAGAGGCTAAAAGAGATTGATTTATTAATTTCTCTAAAGGGTTAGAGCTCTGTATGTTCTTTTAAAACATTTTTTCTCGCTTAAAGGAGATATGTTTATGTCTAAAACATTTTCCAGTAATTTATATTGTATGTGAAGCTTTCTCTATTGATTAGGGGGCTCTAAGGTTTTTTCAGTAGTGAGACTTTCAAGCTGTTGATTCCTGCATGGTTCAGGATAACTCAAATCTTTGTCATTTGGTGTGTGTGTGTGTGTGTGTGTGTGTGTGTAAGTGATACCCTGTTTTATTTTTTGAGATTGACACCTGTTGAAGAAATGCTGCCAGAATATGAAGGGACAGCAAGCTCCTTTCCTTCCACATCTCCATAGAACAGCTTATAAGGCAGGAATGGGGGAAATGCAGATGTTGCTGGACTTTTACAGATCCATTATCTTTGACCATGCTGATGGGGGTTAGAGTCCACCAACATCTGGAGGGCCACAAGCTCCCCATCCCTGATACAAAGGATTCTGTTCCTCATTCTTCTTTATCCCCCACAGCTCCGTTCCTTGTGATGGCTCTACAAACATTTTGAAGAACATTATGAGGGAAGTGAGGATCTGACAGTAAGAGCTGTTCGACAGTGGAATTTGCTGCCAAGGAGTGTGGTGGAGTCTCCTTCTTTGGAGGTCTTTAAGCAGAGGCGTGACAACCATATGTCAGGAGTGCTCTGATGGTGTTTCCTGCTTGGCAGGGGGTTGGACTCGATGGCCCTTGTGGTCTCTTCCAACTCTATGATTCTATGATTCTTTAATGACATGGTCACTTCCCAGCAACAAAACCCGGAAGCAGAACTCTGAAAAGTGACTCCACAAGAGATACAGATGGCAGAGCCAGCTCCTGAGACCAAGGGGATAGGTAGCACAGACACACCCTTGGGCAAATCACTTGAGAGGTGAGTACTGATAGCCTGTGAAGATATGCTTTGCCAAGTACAGTTGTGCCTTAGATCCCAAATGCCTCGGTACTTGGACGTTTTGGCTCACAAACGCCACAAACCTGGAAGTGAGTGTTCTTGTTTGTGAACATTCTTTGGAAGGCGAATGTCTGATGGGGCTTCTGCAGCCAATCAGAGGCTGTGCTTTGGTTTCCAAATGTTTTGGAAGTCAAACGGACTTCTGGAACGGATTCCGTTCGACTTTCAAGGTACGACTGTATACCTAAAGCTTGGGATATTTATGATAGCCATTGGGCTGGGGTAGTGTAGTGGACTAGTGAAGGGGAGACCTGGTTCTAATCCCTGATCCGCCATGAAGCTCATCGGGTGATTGTGAACAAACGTCAGGGCTGGAATCAGATGCAGGTCAGCACGAAGAGTCAGAGTCAGTTGTCAATGAAGTCAACTCTTTATTCAAGGTAATGGCATGCAACTCAGCAACACTTCTCAGTAGGTTTTGCCCCCATAGATCAGTTGCCAGGACAGAAGCTCCCTGCCTTCTCCTCTTTCTAAGACTCATTCTCTCCCAGATGTTTCCCAAGCAGCCTCAAACTGCTCTGGTCTGTTTTGCTCTACATAGTCTTGGAGACCAGGTGGGTAGGAGAGCTTGTTGCAGCTGGAGAAGAAGACTCCCAGGATGCTTCAGCAGTCTCTTGACCACCACCCCTCCTCTGCTTCAGCCACAGAGTCTGAACTGTTCCCTGTCACAGCTTCGCCCTGCTCACGAAACCTTGTTGGCCCTTCAGCATCCAGCCCCTCCTCCTAATCTTCCTCTGACCTCTCCTTGGTGTTCCACCACAAACGCTCTGGCTCTGAGCCTTCCTCCTCTGGGGTTTTCCCTGGGAGTTCCTCAGCTGGTGCCTCCCACCACTCCTGTTCAGCCAGTCCCTGACAAGAAGTCACTCATACTTAGCATGTTTCTTCACAGAGGTGTCATGAGGATAAAATGGAGGGTGTGGCAGGACAGTGGGTGGGGAGCATGAGCACTGCCTTGAGCTCCTTGGAGGAACAATGGGATATATATGAGGGAGGTGTTTTAAGGAGTAAAAGAACCAACTTGAAATATGAGTCTCTATTTCAGTATAGAATGCTGCCAGCTGCCCACTGTCTTGACTGTATTAAATTTCACAAAACTGGCTTTGGGACACTCTATAACAGGCTGACATGGGGTGGATTTTTTGATACATGTTTGTGCATTTAGCAGATATAAAATGGAGTTGCAGTTCACAATGGAAAAAGTTATTTTTAATTATGCATGAGCATGAATATGTATTTAGTGAAACAGACCCTAAGGGTTTTTCGTTGGGCTTTTTTTTTTTAACTCTAGTCACTCTTGCAAAATTATTCTCATTTAGGGTACAAGTTACATTATAGCAGAAATCATGATTGAAATTCAAATCCTAATACTGTTAAAACACAATGTTAACAACGAAAATGCTTAGAGTGGCATTAAAAGCATCTAAGATAATGAGAATAAATGATGTGAATTAGAGTTAAATTAACAACAGATAATACAATTGCAGATCAAAAGCCAGATTGCTGTGTTATTAATCTTACAGTAGAAAAGCTAGAATGAGGGGCTTTTCTCCTCTTTAAGTTCTCTTTTGAGAAGCATAGCTTTATAGAAGTTCTCACTTTGGGAACATTAGCATACTCATAACAGGAACATTCTAAATATTCATTCGGTGTGTTCATTTCTAATAAATCTAACTGATAACCAGGGGAAAAAATGTATAACATGTTATGTTTATTCCAGAAGTCCCTGTAATACAGCAAAGTACAATCAGGAGGAGAAATTATTGGGTCTCATAGTTAGTAAAACATGGCATTTTATGGTTCATTCTAGAAAGATACAAATTATGAGTCCTATTACATTGTGGTTCATACAGTATAATTTCGCAAATATATATCGAGCTGTTTATTTGAAAGAAGTGGCGTTGCCTTTTCAGCAAAAGTAGCAGGTGTTTCAGTAATGATGTATTTTGGATGTTATTGGTTCTTCCTTCAGAGCCCTCTTATCATGCAGAGTAATTTGGCAAGGATGTTCAGTCAGGTTTCATTTCAAGAAAAGCTTTAAGCATGGGTTTAGTTTGCAACCAGTTCAAGACAGTGCTTAAGCACACTTTGGATTTCATATCTTCCAACAATTCCCAAATGGAAAAGCAGGGGGCACTCTCCTTGCATACAGTGCTGGATTTAGGTTCAGGTGGTTCCCCAGCATAGGGGGCCAAGTTGAGGGGGGCAAAATTGAAAAGAGCCGTCACTGAGAAGATTCATTTGGGGACACCAAACTTTGGCCGTGCTCAAGGTGCAATACTACAAAAGATTATCAAAGTCCGGTGGCACATTGGGACTTGCAGGAAGAGGAGGGCAAGGGGCATCAGCTGCTGCTGCTGAGCTCATCGGCTCTGTTGCTGGCATGGAAGTGCCGCCTTGTAAACACCCGGAGCGGGTGCTTTCTCTGAGACCCAAGGCAGGCTGATGGAAGCCTCATGGTTAGGGTAGCTCAGCCAGCCCCGTCTTTTTTCCATATTCCATCGACAGTGCATGTATATGGGGCGCAGGGGTGTGTGTATAAACTGATGTAGAATAGAAGGTCCCTATTTTCATCTGAGGAATATTGGAGGAATATGCCATAGCTGGAACAGAAAGCAGGTGCTACATGTAGAATTCTCCATCTCTAATCCAACCTAAGCATGTCCAGCTTTTGTTAAAATGCTAAAACCTGAATAACAGCGATTGGTGTCTAAGCAGGGTGGGAGGCTAACAAGGAAGGTTCCTCTTTACCTGCTGATAGATGCTGATAGGCATCTAGCTTTTCCAAAGGGGCCTGCACTCATATGAACCTTCCTGGGACTGAGGATTCTGCTTGCCGGCCCACTGTCAAGGTCCATGAGATTGGTGGGCACTAGAGACAGGTGCTTTTCCTTTATCTCTGGGATTCTCTCTCAAAGGAAGTACATACGCCCCCAGTTTTGTTAACTTTAATTGGACCTTGGAAACTTGTTTCAATCTGTATTTTACGAGGAGTGCTGTGCTAAGCTCTTAAACTGCAGCCATTTTTAGTTTTGTGATTGGATTGCTTTGTGTGTATTGTAAAAAAATGTGTCCGGAGGAGGGCAATCAGGTTCGGAAGCAACATCCTATGGGAAATGCTTGAAAGAGTCAGGTACGCTTAGCTTGGGGAATAGAAGATTAAGGGGAGGCATGATTGCCGTCTTCAAATATGATGGCCTTTCGCATAGAAGATAAAATATGTTTCTGAATGCCAGTTGCTGGAAACAGGCCATTGGCTTGACCCAGGAGACTCTTCTGAGTAGACATCTCTGTTGCTCCAGCAAGCAGGACTAGAACTAGGTGCACAGGAAGAAGCTGCCTTATACTGAATCAGACCCAGTGGTCGCTCTAGCTCAGTATTGTCTACATTGATGGGCAGTGGCTATCCAGCATTTCTGGCAGGACATCTCTCCCAGCCCTACCTGGAGATGCCGTGGGTTGAACCTGGGACCTTCTACATTCAAGACAGATGCTCTACCACTAAGCTGTGGTCCTTCCCCTCTGTAACTAATGAATGGAAGTTGCAGGAAGCAGATTTCATGTAACGTTCATAGAAACTTCATAACAGTAAGAACTAGCTGACATTGGAACAGATTGTCTTGGAAGGTGATAAGATCTCTCTCACTAGAGGTCTTCAAGCAGAGGCGGGACTGCCATTTGTCAGGTCTTCTCTAGCTGCACCCCACATTACAGATCCTGCAATTAGCGCACTGTGTTGGACTAGAAGACCACTAGATGACTTTCCAGTTCTCAGAGTCTACATTTGTAAGCCTCCTTGGGAGACCTTTGCCTTGAATGGCAGCATAGAAATTCCTTAAATAAATACATTTTTGTGCAATGCAGTAATCAGTCTACAGGGTAGACATGACCATAGACAGCAAGGTCTGTGTTGGGGAGATATAGTTTTCTACTTGAACATGCATCCAATACAGCTCTCACTCACTCACTCCAAGTGAGTAACAAATTATAATAATTTTTAAAAGGCAAATACGGCCTCTTAAGTTCCCTCCATCTTCTCCTTTTAACTTACTAGCATCTGTCGTTCTTGTTATTATTTTTACTATGGGGTAGGTCTTCATGTTTTACCAAGACTAAATAAAAATGAAGTACAGTATCTTAACGTATTGTGCATGTCTTAATACTGCAGTATCTCCAACATGCCTCCATCAAAATTGCATGGTTGAATAATGCCTTTTAATGGTTTAGTACAAGCGAAGTTTATAAATATTCATGTGTAAGCACCCTTATTAGTATGTGTTAGATAATGAATATTAATGACTACCTTACTCATGCAAAAGCAAGTGAACACTGTATGAGATGAGCATGGATATTTTCATTAGGACAAAGCAAGGAAGAGCATATCAGCCCAGCCTCTTGCAGGTGATACTACTATTGACATTCTTCATGCTGTAATATGTCATGCTGTAAATAATATTTAATTGTTTTACTGCCAATTATCTCCCCCTGCCCAAAGAAAAAATGTGATCTGTTCAAGATATGAATATCTTTTTGTTTTAAGACTCCCAATAGGCAGGAGTATGATTAAGCCAAATATTTGACAACAATTAAACTAAACCAACGAACATTTGCATTAATTTTATGAACACAGTTTCAGTATCACTATAATTTCATAATTTTATTAGCATGCAATGCATACCTAACTCGCAGGCTTAGTATATAAGAGGAACAAACTGATACTAACCATGTGTACTTAGAAGTAAACCCCACTAATTTAGTGAGATATGCTTCCAAGTTAGTTTACTTAGGACTGTAGCCAGAATTCCTAAAGGGACTCGAAAGTATACATCAAAATAGAGCATTAAATAAGCAGTTAATAAATACATTTTAATAATAATAATAATTTGTACACTTAGCTGTACGGCTAGTTCACACATGCTGGTTCACTTGAACAGCAGCAGTGGTATGATAGAATCATACAGAATTGTAGACCTCAAAGGGCATGTAGTCCAATCTCCTGCAATGCAGGAATCACAACTAAAGCATCCATGACAGATGGCCATTGGGATTTGAATATATATTGCAGATAGGGCCTAATTTACATTCCCCAAACCAATACACAAATCAAAACATAGATAGCCTTTGAAATTCACACTTCTCTGTCCATTCCCCCGCTTTAAAATGTATAAAAATAACACAAAAATGCTTAGAATTTCCATGCAGATCTGTGTCTATATCTATACATAGAGCAAACTGTTGAGGAAGAGGAGAAGCAATAATAATAATAATAATAATAATAATAATAATAATAATAATAATTTATTTATACCCCGCCACTCTGGGCGGCTCCCAATAGAATGTTAAAAACATGATAAAACATGATAAAACATCAAAAACTTCTCAAAATCTTCAGATGTTTTCTAAAAGTCAGGTACAGTGGTACCTTGGCTTAAGAACTTAATTCCTTCTGGAGGTCCGTTCTAAATCTGAAACTGTTCTTAACCTGAGGTACCACTTTAGCTAATGGGGCTTCCCGCTGCCACCGCCGCATGATTTCTGTTCTCATCCTGAAGTTCTTAACCTGAGGTACTACTTCCGGGTTAGCGGAGTCTGAAACCTGAAGCATCTGTAACCTGAAGTGTCTGTAACCCGAGGTACCACTGTAGTTGTTTATTTCCTTGACATCTGATGGGAGGGCATTCCATAGGGCAGGTGCCACTACCGAGAAGGCCCTCTGCCTGGTTCCCTGATTCATCCATCATCACCCTGAATCTATAGTTCATTCATTTGTATCCTTTGTCCTCCTCTGAACCTCTATGAAGACACACTGAATCATTCCAGGTCTCCTTCCTCTTTCCCTGCCTGTGTTTCCTGGGGCACCCACCCACCTTCCTTGGCTTTCCCTTCTGCCCCAAACAATGCACCCAGCCCTCGTTGCATTCCCTTTTTTCATGGAAGGTGATCAACGGGTTGTGAGGGAAACTTAGGCCACACTGTGGCAAGAATGTGAGCATTGAGCTGGAAGAAACTGGAGTTTAAGTTGCTGTTCCCTGCCCCTGCCATTTTGAGTTTCCTACTCACATAAGAGTCAAGTTTGCATATAAATACCCTTTTCAGAGATTGCTCACATCAGCAGGATTTTGCATTTATTGCAATGTATTTGTTGACTTGGTAGTGGTACTTTTCTTTTTTAAAACATGACCTTCAGTCGATCAGCTTTACATTATGGTGAATAAATAATATAGTACTTGTACTGTGATTTCAAGTGTCCAGAGTGGTTAACATATAGTTCTTGTTGTAATAGCTGCCTTGCGTATCCTTTGAGAAAGACATGGCAAGCAGGCCCAGCCCTATGATGAGGCAGAGTGAAGCTGCTGCTTCAGGTGGCAGAAGTTGAGGGGTGGGGACAGAGCTGTGAGTGCCCTGTGGCCTGCCCTGTGCCACTTTGCTAGCCTGCTGCCCTCAAGGGCAGTGGAAGATATTTTCCCAGTATGGGCCCTGGAGAAGGGTGCCATATTGTCCTTCATCTTGGGCAACAAAATGTCTTGAGCCAGCCCTGACTAATTATAGCAATGCTGTGATGTAAGAGAGTGACAAATAACCGACCCAGTGCGATTCAAACTATTGGCTTTCCCCCATTCTTAAGTTTTCTTCTCACTTTTATAGCAAAAAAGAGAACAATTTTACTCTAATAGTCATCCCATTTAAAAATGGAGTCAAATCCTAAGTAACCCCCCTCCCTTTGCGGGAACAAAAATTGACACCAGGGCACTTAAGAGAGGCTATGTCCCAATCAAAAGGCAATGAAGTGGGCGGAACCTATATAGAGCAAATCTTAACTAGCATGGCTGAGAACTTTTGCTAAATGGGGCTCATTCATGAATAAACTTTATAGAAAGATCTTGGCAATGGCTAAGGTCGTGGCTGAGTACTGTCGTTTTATATCAAGTGCTTATATTAAGAATTTCGGTGTTAATTCTTCTTGCAGCAAATTGCAGGAAAAAAAACAATACTTCAGCAACACTTAAAGGAGATCAACTATAGAAACAAGAAGCTCCCCCACATCAACAGCTTTTAGAGCTGGCTGTTGTGTCCTTGGGAGTTCACTGTTGGAGTTCAGTAACAACTAAGGATTTGCATGGGTATATAACTACAAAAGAATGTTGCACTCTTTCTGTCTTTCCATCTGTGCCACTGTAGATATGTACTCAAAAGAGATTGATCCAAACTGAATTTGTGGTAGGCAAGATGCTGGCATACTTATGTTGATCTGACTAGAAACTTTCAAGGAAGTTCCCCCCGCTGCTATCCTTTCCCTTCACTCCTCATGGTGTAAACAGTACATAAAGTAGCACTGGGGGGAAAACAAATATATATTTTGTCCCCTAACCAAATATTTGAGTTTGGTAGGGAATTACAGCATCACTATTGAAGTTAGGACTCGGGTGGCACTGTGGGTTAAACCACAGAGCCTAGGGCTTGCCGATCAGAAGGTCGTGGTTCGAATCCCCACGACGGGGTGAGCTCCCGTTGCTCGGTCCCAGCTCCTGCCAACCTAGCAGTTTGAAAGCATGTCAAAGTGCAAGTAAATAAATAGGTACTGCCCCAGCGGGAAGGTAAATGGTGTTTCCGTACGCTGCTCTGGTTTCACAAGTAGCGGCTTAGTCATGCTGGCCACATGACCCGGAAGCTGTACGCCGGCTCCCTCGGCCAGTAAAGCAAGATGAGTGCCACAATCCCACAGTCGTCCGCGACTGGACCTAATAGTCAGGGGTCCCATTACCTTTTATTGAAGTCGTTCCTTAGTTTAAAGAAGCATCACCATGAAAAATATGCAAAGTAAGACTGTAGACTTGGGAGTTATATTGGGGCCCCAGCTGTAAAGAATCTAAAACCCTTTCCTGAACTTTTAATTGTCATTTAAAAAGGGTTGCCATATGTCCGCTTTTTCATGGGTAGAGTCATAATAGCGATCCATTGTTAAAAGTAGTAGTCGGCAAAAGTGTCCTCTTTTTTGCTCTTCAAAATATTGTTGTTTATCGTTTAGTCGTGTCTGACTCTTTGTGAACCAATGGACCAGAGCATGCCAGGCACTCCTATCTTCCACTGCCTCCCGCAGTTTGGTCAAACTCACGCTGGTAGCTTCGAAAACACTGTCCAACCATCTCGTCTTCTGTCGTCCCCTTCTCCTTGTGCCCTCCATCTTCAAAGTCTTTTCCAGGGAGTCTTCTCTTCTTATGAGGTAGCCAAAGTATTGGAGCCTCAGCTTCAGGATCAGGGCTGTCTTTAGCAGATGCAGCGCTGGGGTGCAAATATCCACTCAGTGCCCCCAAATTACCATGGATGGGGGGGGCAGAAGCTGCACATTGCCAGCCATGGTGTGTGTGTGTGCAACTCTCCCCCATGCCGCTGAGGGAGAGCAATCCCCGCAGAGGCTTGGGAGGGAAGCTGCGCGCCCACCAGCCCTATAGTTAGCGGGGCGCAGCTTCCATCCTAAGCCTCTGCGGGGATCGCTCTCCTCCCACGGAGGCTTGGG